CTTCTTCTAATTTTTCGTCTCCTATCTTTATATTCGCTCTTTCCCTACTTTTCGAGATCAATGTCTTTAAAATAAATGTATCTGTAATACCTAATTTAAAGTCTTAAAGGCGATCGAAATTTTGAATATTCAATTATTTTGTACTCTAATAATCTTTATGAAATATTTGCATGACAAAAAAGTCTTAGATCCGGTAGCCCAAAAATAATTAAATAACATTCATCAAAATAAATTATTTACTATCGAAATAGTATCCTATTTAATAATAATTTATTTAATTTTATAATAAAACCGTTATAAATGCTCAAACGCACGCTTTTATTCCAAATTTCCTCAAAAGTCTTCTGAGAATTCAGCTGAACCAACCTGACTAGTTTAATCCATTACCTACATGCGTCCTACAACTATTCTACCCTTTTCGCAGAAGTCGTTATAAAAATATTTGAACAGTAATAAGCTTTTAAGTAATATGAGCATTTTTTATAGGCGGACATAATACAGATACACTCTATGTAAATAACTTTTCTGCCAACCTTGTATGTTGCATTACTGTAACCTTTCATAGTTTGCGTTTCCATTTTTTCCGTTGATCTGAGCCGGATTGTGGCGAATTCATGCGGAAATATGTCAAGGGAACACTTAAAGCGAAGAATAAGAGCCACTTTACCTAATGCCGCAATCCTAAAACGCAATTTTGGATTTGGTTCAGTTTATTTCGGCCAGACTAAAGTATACATATATAGGCATACAGCCCAAGCATTCTAAGAGGATTATTAGCACAATGTTGCGGATATTGGATATTGGTTGAGAATTATGTGGTTACAAAGGATATCGAGGAGCCTTCAGTTAAGGCACCTGGACATATTTGTGTTCGTTTATTTTATACTGATAGGCTTCGAATAAAGGAACTAATTTTTCCATTTTATCAATATTACTTTACGTTGCAATTCTAGTTTGATTTTTGGAATAATTGGCGGTTGTAAATTATAATAATTTTTATTTTTGTATGACGTTTCGTCCTATTTCTCAATGCAATTAAACAAATAAACAATTGAGGGAATAATAATGGTCATTCTCTTGTTTTCGTTAAGTATATTCAAAACAATCAATACAAACGTTCACTTATGGTACAAAATGTGCCAAATGAATATAAATCGAAAAAATGATTTCAAATCAATATTGCATATTAATCCACTATTAAGTAATTAACAATGTCCCAGGATTTCATATATTTAATACATATTAGTCAATTATTTCAGGATTTATTATCATTGGTGTATAAAAGGTATATACATACAGTAGGTATACCATAATCTAGCGGTTCTCGTCGGGGCCAAAATAAATATTGGAAACTTTTCATAAAAACTAACTAAAATGTGACTCCCTGTACAGTTGTTGTAAGATCATCAAACGGCTAACTCCATTTTAGTTTCTCCGATGTGTCTCTGAATACCGCGGACAGACGTGAGCACCTCAAGTGTTGCATGCCTTTTTAGACTGTGTGTTGTGCTTTGAGGCTTTAAATTTTGAATATTAATTACCTGGTAGAGCATGGATGTAGTAGAATAAGAATCATACAAAACTCTATTTATATAATCAAGAAATGACCAAGTTCTACTAATTTGATCCATTTCTTCCCCTTAGTGTTTAATAAAAATAATCAGAGCTGACTAGGAATGAAAAAGACTTATTAGATTAAAACTTAGAAGGTCTCAGCTTTAATTATTTTCATTAATGACCAAGTCTTTTGAATTTCGACTGATTTTGGAATTTTAGTGCATGCTGTTTGGGTATTTGTATTATTGTTATGATGTAGGTACCCTGAATTGCTTTGAGTATTAGAAAATTAGATTTAAAATTAATTTTATTGTAATCAAAAAGGCGTATTTGTAATCGATTCTGTTTTGTTTTGTTCAACAGAGGGTAGAGAGTGCGTGAACTGCGGTGCTACAAGTACACCATTGTGGCGCAGGGATGGCACAGGTCATTATCTCTGCAATGCGTGTGGACTTTATTACAAAATGAACGGGCAAAACAGGCCCCTCATCAAACCTAAGAGAAGACTGGTAAGTCTTTTAACTGTTTTTCTTCAAATTATCTAACAGTAGTTGAAGTGTTTGACTTTAAATATATACACAAAATAAAGGTGACGGTTCTGTGCTTACCTGAATTCGTTAAAAATTTATTCATATCTGCACACACTTTATAAAAGAAAGTTGAGTGCATATGTCCTATCAATCTCTGATATATACAAAATCCTGCACTATAAATGTATAGTGCACCTACACACATTCTAAAAAAATTAGGAACTATGTAGGTGCTTTAAAACAATAAAATATTAAATGTTATTTTAAACGATTTTTAGTTTAATTCAATAGTAGGCACTTGAACTTTATAATTTTAATGAGATTTTCCAGGTTTATTTATGACTTCTAGTATCTATACTGCAATTGTTGACCAATGAGACTTTCTTTAGGGCTTCTGATTTCTCAATTGTTTGAATTTCTCGCAACTCTAGAATTTTCATTTGCTTGTCCTCAGGAAACTATAAAAAATTTAGTTCAAAAAAATCAATTGCAGGTATCTATTATTCGCGACCAGAATTTTGAGGGGGCGCAGGTGAGGTCCCTAAGTGGGTAACCCACTACCTCTTGTGGGCCCCATGAAGTTGCTCCTTAGAGGAAGGAAGGGGCATATAACTCCTTGCCGCATTTGCGCATCATCAGTAATGCCGCATGTGGTCCCCGCGGGGAAAAATTATTGCTATTTTATCAATGAGAAACTGTTTGCCTTGATGCGTCTGGTTTTAGTTGTCTTATAATAACAATATCAGGAAATACACTTGTTGGTTCATTGCAAATGTAAAAAATTTCATTGAAACGACGACGTAATTGGGCAAGGGGATTGTTACCATTTTTTATAAGTTTTTTCATTTCACTAAGAGTATTTTCAAACGGATTTGCCTCATTGAGAACCCACAAGGTAGATTTAATTGAAAGTTTATACATGAGTGAGATTTGCCCATATGAAAAACCTATAAGGAAATCCTCATTTTAGTATCACCACTTTTTTTGGTGGGATTTTCATTAGCCACATGAGGCCCGCACGCTAGATGGGGCATGCCCCTTATAAATTCTAGTCGGTTTCATATCATAAATCCAAAATTTGATTACTATCTGTTTAGAAATCTAATTGCAAAACGCGTTTCTATATCCAAATCGTCACCCTGCTAGAAGAAGTTTTACTTCCAAAGCAAGAAGTGCACGTTATTAATGCATGAATTGTCAGGCAGGGGCGGCCTTAACCACTGCGAGGCTCCGGGCGGGTAGATCTTTTCGAGGCACTTGTCCTTATGGAATTAGTTTTGATGATGGCACTTGACGAGAAATACAAAGTTATTAATAAATAAACTTCGAATTTTAAAATTGTTTATTTGAAATTAACAAGAACTAATAAACACAAAGATTATTACTTAAAAGAATCTGGGATTCATAAATGATGCTTGCAGCTTTCTTAAGTCTCAGAAATTCAAATAAATATTAGTACTATTAGTAAAATTTTCTAATTGGAAAATTACGCGATAAGGCGAGGCCCCTGCAAGAGCGAGGCTCCGAGCGGTTGCCCAGCTCGCTACCCCCAAAGGCAGCCCCTGTTGTCAGGACTAAACCTCACAAATTTTCTGAGAAATCGAGATGTACTGGGTCAAAAACTATACCTTCTTTAACAAACCTATCTGTATGCAAAACATTTATACCTACGCATCATAAAATGTACATTTTAGTTTAGTTTAGTGTTGCTGTTACACACTACATCTAGGTAGTAGATTGTACATTAGCCGTCTTTTAGTTATTGAGATTCTCCAGGTTGTTCAGGCGGTTAAAAAAAATGTAGTGGCAAACAGAGATTAATTTCGAACGTAGGAGAATTATCGCGTAATCTCAATCCTTCACGTCTTGAAACAACGAAGAACACGTACACAAGCATCACATCCTACTCCTTTTCCCCGGACAAACCAATTGAATGCGATACGTCTACGTACCTACCCATACCTATACCGTCAGTCGACGTACGGGTAACCGGTAGCCTTATATTTTGTCATTGTTATCTCCGTCTTTAGTGCTATATGCTGTTTTATTAATGATACAAACTTTTTCTATTATGCGACTGTTACTGGATCATGATTGACCATTTTCTGTTCGTGCGGACAATGATCTATTTCCAAATGGGGCGTCGTGGCCTAACCATAAATTATTGCGTGACGATTCCATTAATTTCTCTTCCCAGCTACTGTGACAGCCAGCGAGAACTTTTTCAAACTGTCGTTTGTCTTTTTTTCTAAAGAATGCATACCTGCTATGAGACATGCGTTACATTGTTTTCTATTCGGGAAAAATTAAATTAGATATTAAATATGTACTACGGCGAAACGGACCCAAAATAATACTTAAGTTAAATCAAAGAACAGTAGATGAAAATTAGATGGATAGAGTAAGAAGAGGCTAAGATTTGTATTCGTTATAACCGAAAAGTTCGGCATTAAAACAATGTAGGAATTTTGAAGTCACATTCATTGGTTACGTCGATCTTACAAAAAGATATATATGTTCATTATAACCGATCGGAATTGCTTATTTCCTGTTCGAAAAAGTTCGCATGAAAATTAGATGGATACAGAGATTTTTGTTCGTTATAACCGAAAAGTTCGGCATTAAAACAATGTAGGAATTTTGAAGCCACATTGATTGGTTAGGTCGATCTTACAAAAAAATATTCGTTCATTATAACCGATCGGAACTGTTTAAATAACGTTCATTAAAGCCGATTGTTCGTCATAAATATGTTCGTTATATCCAAGTATGAATAACACTTGTTTCATCAACGGAATGTAACTTTGTCCTTTCGTTCGTTGTTAAAATTAAGCGTTCGTTATAACCAAGTTCAACTGTGTAGGATATATTCCCGAATGCTTGACATTGCTGCTTAATGACGCACGTTAGGTAATAAATTTTGATGGGCCACGCGAATTTCATTTTCTTTTTAATGAAATGCTCAAAGTAAAAGCAGTATGCTAATTGTTTAAATAAATGAGTATTAAAATATTCCAAAGCCATGGGTATTTACATACATACGGGCATTTATGTGATAAATTAATTAGACAAACTAGTGGTCGGATTGACAATTAATTTTTTATATAGCTTCTATAAAAGCATTATCAAGTTCAAGGACTAGTAATTTGTAATTTTAAAATAAACACTTAACTGTTTTACTAACATCGCAAAGTAATAAATCTTTTTTTAGAATTAATCAAATTCTCCTAGTAAATTTCAACATGCGCCTACATTCCTAATTATTCAGGTTTAATTAAAATAGGTGCATCATAGCACAAAATTTGTATTTTTTTGTGGCGCTATCTACATTACGTTAATGTACATAATTACTAATTTATCATTACTAAAGTTATTAATTAATAATTAACTCATTACATTTAATTGACAATAATATTCCAATCGATTTAAAAACATTTTTTTTTTTTCGAAAAATTTAAGTGTGAACTAATTACAAATAGTTTGAAAACAATTATTTGGTTAACTGCAATTTTTTAAATACATATCTACATACGTAGGAAAAACCAAGAAATGGCTAAAATATGTTGCTTATAAAAAATGAATGGGCATATCTCATCGTTGTCGTAATTAGGGAACATACCTATATTAAATTAACTGTAACTTCTACTCAATTATAATTAATTATACAGCAGGCACCATTAAACCATTATATGGTACCAATAAATACCTCAATAAAGATATGATAATTATGACGACAATGAATAGAAAATAGTTATTTATACAGTAGTTAAATGTAAAAGTAGTTAATAGTAATTTTAATCAAAAATAATTACTGCTCAGTTTTTCTGCAAAAATGAATTAACGTTAAAGTACAATTTTTAAACTTAATTTATGCAGAAGTACCTTNTTGACTTTTAAGCACGTCAAAAGATTGGTGATTTTAATTATAAATTATTAAACGTTTTAAGATCAACTAATTCCAGAAAGTCGGATTTTGAATGGAGTACGAATTATCATATGAAATTTTTACGTACATATAAGAACATACATATGTAGAAGAGTTTTAGGTATATGTTGAACTGATGATATGAAGAAACCAATAATCGGTCGTCCAATGCCACCACATTAACTGTTAATTGTGTTCAAGAAAACTTAATATCTCTAGTCTTCTTAATTATGAAAGTTTCTTTGTATAGATAAGTACCTATACATTTACACAAATCATTAAATTTGACATCTTCTTCCATATAAGTATGATAATAACTACTATTTAATTTCTGCAGTGTGCAACCGAAAATTATGTATGCATGGTTTGAATGTCTGCTCTTCTTTCATTCAACATATTTTTGTTTGTAGTGTATTTGTTTTTATTGAAGCGTATGTAGGCAGGTAACATCTTGCTTAAATTTACGAAGCATGACCGAATTGTCAATCAGCCTTTACTCGCCCCCGTATCAATTATTGTCCTGCATATACACCGGTGTAGCCCGGGGGCGCTGCAGTCGCGCCGGAACAGGTGTCCAACATTATGCAAATATCGGGTACCATCTCATTATCGAGTTAAATATTTAAGGCATAAACACCACCTTTCATTCAATATTATTAATGGCCACAATGGCTAGTACTTTGGCTACTTTCAATAAAAATGTCGGCGCAGGATAAACACGTTCACTAATTTGAGAGTAAATGAATTCTTCACTTTACTTTTCATTAATTATTATAGACTAGCTAAACCTGTTCAAATTTGGATCCATATAGCATTTACATTTTAATCATGGGGATCCACCATAACCTAACCTATATCGTTAATGCATAGTACATATCCTTGGTGCATAGTGATTGAGATTTTCATTTCCATCAGTCCTAATGCTGATCGGCAGACAATTATTCCGGATTACAGCGGAAAATAAGGAAGAGGGTCCTTTAATAGTATATTATTGTCCCAGCATTTGCCTAAATGAAACCACAGAAAATCGTGAACCAGAACAGACCGATGCGGA